AGCCTCAATTACCCTGCTGGAGATATGGCTGGAATCCCTAACATGTAGAGATTTGAGCTTCTGTTTCAATAGCCCCAATTTCTGCGTAAGACAGAACATAGGATTGCCTACAATAAGCTCATCCTAAACTATCTGAACAATATCCATAAAATCTGCACGATCAGCTCAAAAATTTAGAAATTTAAAAGGGGATGGTACCTTGCCACAACGAGAGCCAAACTGGACAACCATAGAGCTATGATCTGACACATTCCGAGGTCGAAACTCTGAAACTGTGGTCGGCCGATCAATGAACCAAGAAAGCGATGCAAAGACCCAATCGAGTTTCTGTAGAATAATCCCAGCGCCTTGTTGACTGTTATGCCAAGTATACCGAAGCCTAGTAAAAGGAACTCCAATCAACTCAATATCATGAATATAGTGGCCAAAATCATCCATATAACCATGCCACGCAGGATCACCACCCACTCTATCAGAGGCTCCCAAAATGGCATTAAAATCACCCAACACAAGCCATGGTAACCCTTCTGAATCAAACTTCGCCTCCTGATCCCTAAGGAAATCCCACAGGTTGCGGCGATTCCCAGGGTCATTAGAACCATACACAAAGGTAATCCCAAAGAAGAACCCCTTTGAAACATGAGTAACCCTGCAAGTGACCTCCTAAAGAGAGGAATGAAGGTTATCTACAAAGTACAGAGAAGGATCCCAACATACCAGAATTCGGCAAGCAATAGAGTTCGTCACATTTGACAAAAACTGCCACGAAGGACAAACTGTCGAGACCATTGACTGTAGATGAGACTGTTGAACCTTAGTTTCCAACAAACCAATCAAACCCAAAAACGAATCAGAAATCCAATTCCTCACCGTGCGTTGTTTCGAAAAGCCGTTAAGGCCTCTAATATTCCAATTCCCTATCATTGGAACTGGGATAGAAACAAGCTATACAATCACTTAGGCCTAGGCCCCGCTTTCCCTGACCCTTTTTCTTTTTCAAGGGTGGTAAGAAAACTGATCCAGATAAGGTGGCATCTGGCATCTGGCATCTGGAGGTCATCACTATGCAAAACAAGCGAGACAAACCTGTTGGAGGAAGTAGATTGCCTGCTCCGAGAACTCATAAGGGAAGCCTGAGTGTTTCCCGTGCAATTTGTGAAGCCCATAATGCGGTCCTGCTCAACTTCGATAGGAAAAAGCGTATCAAGATTCGACCCAAAATCAGAGTTGGAGAATTCATCTCTACTGGCATGAAATCCAAAAAAAATCCCCAACTGTAGCTGCACTATAATGCATGGTAGTAACCCCATCCAGAACTGAAACCCCAGCTGGTGCTGAAACATCCCTATGTCGCTCCTCCTCCCTAATGGGATCAGTAGTAACTGACTGTCTCAAATGCTCGTGGTCCTCAGATTGCACTATAATACCACTCCCCGATGCCTTTTGGAAGCTAATAATTGTCTTACTCTTATCCTAAGCCATAGGTGCAGTAGATACCTCTAGTTGGTGACAAACATGGCCAAAAACACAGCATTTGGGGCATCTCTTGGGGGTCCACTCATATTCCACTGTAATCTGAATGGGTTCAGTAGATAATCGGCATTGAAATTCAAATTGGCGCTTGAGAGGCTTGGCTGCATCTATCTCAACACATACACGTGCATAATCTAAACGGGTCCGTTCAGAAGTAGTCTTGTCACTCGACAACGGCTGACCCAACATAGAAGAAACCATGCAAAGTCCTTTGTGAGACCATAAAGGATAAGGCAACCTATGCAAACGAGCCCATACCGGAACCTTGGAGATGCGGCTTTTATCAAAGGAAAACTGAGCATGTCATTGTTGCAGAACAATCAACTTGCCCCCAAACATCCACGACCCTTTCTCTAAGATTGAATGCACCGCATCCTCATCCGTAAATCTGAAGATAAAGAAACCAGTACCAGTGGACATAATATCCTCCAAACCCACAGCTTCTCATGCACAGAAAGCAATTGAGCGGGCAACATGAAATGGCATAGAATACCCCGAGAAATACCCCACAATACAGCGGAGCCAGTCAACATCATTGTCATCAATAACATCATCCGAGATATGTAAGATGTCATCCTTAATATCAAGGTCCACAGCTTCAAGGGTGAAATGGGACCTGACCTCTGTCACTCTAACCTTATCCGCCCAAGAGGAGGACACTTCTGATATGCTCTTACCCGCACTTTTCTTTTCTAAAACTGGCTTAGAAACTGACTTTTTTTCCCAGGGCTCTGAAGACGCCCAGTTGAGCTTGAAAAGCTTCTTAGACTTCGGCATTTTTAAGCCATTAAAAGATAACAATGATGAACCTGCATTATCATTAGATTCAAACTCAAGAAAACCAAAGAAAGAGTTTTTGTGATGAAAAACCTTGGCTCCTTGAATCGTCACATTTGAGAAAGTGGATAGCAAATACTTGTCATCCATCCATGGCTCCAAATGTCTAATCCATAAAGATTTCCTCAAATTTCTAGAATTTTGCGGCTGCTGGGAGGTGGTGGAGGTAGTATTTAAAGTGTTGGCCTGGGTTGGATGCAGTATGGTGTTATTTGGGAGTGGGGGATTTGGTTCGGGCATTTTGTTGAACACTTGGTGGCAGGAAAAAAATGTGTGGTTTAGGTGAGTTGAAAGATTCAGAATAGCAGGGATTTGTGAAAAAAATTCCAGTGGTGAAGGGGTTTTGGTGTTGGAAAGGGACAGGTGGTCAGGAGGGCCAAGAAGTGGCCAGGTAGCAGCAGGCGTTGGGCGTTAGGGCACTGGGCGCGCGTAAGAACATGTTATTTAAATAAAGATAGGTTGACAAATATTTCTCACAACTCTCTCACAAATGCTGATATGATAGCTCGCAACTAGTCAGTTCATAATTGGTCAGTTCGTATTTGATCAAGCGGGATCCATTGTTGGGCAAGCGGAGCCCATTACTAGTTGATATACGTATTTATGAAAGAAAGTTAGTGAGAATAGTTTGTTAGTATAGTATTTCTACGTGTTATTTACTCCCAAGTTTCCTCCCAACTTGTACTCCAAGTTTCCGCCCAACTTGTATTAACCGGCAAAATGGAAGTTAAGCAGGTCAACTATAAAGCTCCACGAGATGTTCGTGTGCTTATGTCCTTGACCATAAAGCCAAGGCCCAATGCAAGTTGCAATGGAAGATCAACGACGGCTGGGTAAACTCCTCTGGAATAAGACAGATTTCCATATTCAAGTAATCAAGTTCCACCATTTGAAATCTTCAAACCTAATGGTTTAAGTTTTTAAAAATCTCCACTCATTTTTAAATTTCTCTACAATCATGTCACCATCATTCTGTCCACTATTTATTAATTTAAAAGCATAACAAAATGGTCTTCATTCTTCTTTGAAAATCTCAGCAATTTATCAGTCAAAAAGGTCAATGGTCACAGTCCACGCTATTCACAAGGGTAACTATTTTTCCATAAAATAAAGTCCAGTTCGGTAAAGACAATCTGCCTTCCCCTCCCGTCCGAAGTCCCGAAGTCGGTGGTTTGTAATTGTTCAGAGACTGGGGGTCTTGCTAACTGAGGGCGCCGGTTCAACAAACTCCTAAATCAAATTCCTTATTAACAAGCAACTGATAACGCCTTCATTTCACATAAATTAAATACAATTATTCATTCCGTGAGTTTAAGACAAATTGTACGTCTTCAACAAGTTAAAAGCCTTGCTAATCTGTCTTAAGAATACAACAATTTTCTTACCCATACCAAACTAAAGAATATTCACATCTACAACGCACGACAATACAATATTAGAATTACGTTTGATTCTAGACAAAACTTGGGACAACTTATAATCATGTTAAACGTCTATTCAATCTTTACTTCACTTATTCATCATAACATTAATAAAGTAACTTCAATAAACAAACTAGGGCAGATTCCAATGCTACATTATGGAGGTTTACCAAACTTAACCATATCAATTACAAAACAACCTTGCTTTTCCATAAGGTACCAGCGAAAAGCAAGTGAAAAAGTATGGAGATGCAACCTTTACAAACTCAACTATTAGAATAAAGAATGCTATAATTTGCCACAAAACCAATCGCTACAAGTTATAGTTTCCAGTTGACACCAAAACCATAGAGCACAACAAACTCCTAGAATTGGTTAGGTTTGAAATTGGAGCAAGGCTTCTTGACCAAGGTCATTTGATAAAAGGAAAATGGTTCACAACATGCAAACCACAAATCAAGAAAAAGTTCAAAGATAAATAAGCAATTTACAGATCCAAAATCTGGTTATATATACAGCTGATGTTTAAACTATTATGACCCGCTCTGGTTCAAACTGCACTTTTAGTAAAAATTTAGTTATAGGAATCCATCATAAAATCTACTGACTCAATTTCTATCATCCATACTCAACAATACATATGCCATAGCCCCAGCATTAGATATATATCCTACTTCGGTTTCTAAACAAATCCAGAAAATTGTATTGCACGTTCTTCAAAAGATGAAAACATCAAAGTTCCTCTAGTAACCAACAAACCTCAGAATATATATTCCACCTCAGGTATCTCAAAGTCCTGACTCAACTGGCTTAAACAAAGGTTTTCTCAACCTGAAGCCAGTAACCAAATCTCTCTGTAACTACTGAACTACAGCTAATGGGTATGTTTAACTTACATGAAATCACTATGAAGTAAAAAAGATGTCCCAAATTTCTTAATAGATTTGAAAAGTCTTCCAAATGCCACAACTTTCAAAAAGTTTACCCAATATTAGTATGATAGACTTTACAGAATGCAGTTTAATACATAAAAACATCATGTCCAATTGTATTTCCATGATGTGGCATAATTTACCTCCTTAGCATGTAGTCATCTTTTTACCAACATTATTAATAAGATAAACAGGAACTAGAGTCCATGGAAATTATGGACAGCAATTGTTGTCAAAGGTAAAGTTGCTGAACATAGAAATACAAATTTATATGAAACAGAAGCTTAGCACAGATATTAAAATGAAGCAAGAAATGTAAGCAAAGGAAACCAAAATGATCACTTTTTGCAAGTGAAGTTACAATTCATAAGACAAATAAACAAGCACACAGCATAGAATTAAATACACCTGAGGACAGAATAAGACAATCCAACAAAAAATTATGTAAAACATATGAAGAAACAAGTTAAATTGAGTTTTTAAACTAACTATTCCTTGAACTGCTATTACCACTTGACCACCTCCTGAAAGTGCATGCCACCAAACTCCTTCCACTCCAAAGCCCTAATCTAGACTTGAAAGAAGTTGATCGGCTATTACTACCTGGTGCACCACTAGCAGCCACCATGTGCGGAGGAAATTCAGCACCATTTTCTAGAGGTCCTACGTCACTGGCATCATGATGTTCAGGCTCGCCACTATCTAAATTTACAACAACGCATTCCCTCCTTGCTCTCAACCAATCAGCACCCTCCGAAGTTACTCCTCTACATTTCTTCACCTTTACTTTGATTAAGTTTGGACAACCATTAGCCAGAGCTTCCATTCCGTGGTCCGACACTGGACAACTCTTAATACAAAGCTTTTTCAATGCTACGCATTTTGCAGCTATGCAGGATATTTCATTGTCACCCACTGTGTCACTACCACACAAGGCTAACCGCTCTAGATTCTGACAATTTGATGCCAAAATTTCTAAACTCAATTTGGTTGGGTTTACACCAATCAGAACTAACTCTTGTAAATTAGGGCAACATTTTGCAACACTTATTAGTCCTTCATCTCCTATTCGATTAGCTTTCCATCCATCAATATGAAGTTTTCTCAATAGCTTACAACGTTCAGATAACGCCGCAAGTCCAAGATTTGTGCATTCTGGAGTTTTAACCAGATGTAGAATTTCCAGATCTAAACAGTTAGATATTGCAGCGAGTCCAACGTCGGTAACTTGGATTCTCTCGAGATGAATCTCCCCCAGACTCGTGACCCGATCCGTTACGAGTTGAAGAAGCTTGTCCCAATCCCCAGAACACCTAAAAAGCTTTAACGTTCTTAGTTTATTTGCTCCAATTATCAGGGGACCAAAACACTGTCCGTTGTAAAGCTCCTTTAAACAAATTGTTTTAAGTGACGATGAAGCCACACCGGGTCCAATCGGCTCAGCCGCGGCTCCGTCTGTAATTCCTCGAAGCCTTTTTATCGATAACTCTTCTAAAGTCGAGCAGTTATCGAGCACTGCGTTCATACCTTTGGCTCCAAAAGTGCAAGATCCACACGAGAGCTTCTTCAAACCCTTGCAGTTTTTAGCAAACACTGACATTCCAGCATCGGTCAGCTCTCGGCAAGCTCGGAGCTTCAAGCGCGTGAGGTTTCGGCACTTGAGTGATATTAAAACAAGTGCGTCGTCCCCGATACTGACGGATCTACGGTCACATTTGAGTGCAAGTTTCGTGACGACGTCGAATCGGGAAAAAAGTGACGGAATCACGTTTTGGAGATCTGATTTGGCGTTGAGAGAGAGACGGTGACGACTCTGTCCCTCGATTCTGAGCCAGCGACGACATACCAGAGAGCATTTTTTGCGGTCACCGGAGCTGAGAGACTGGAAAATGCAAGCCAAGCACTCGTCGGGCAGATTTGAGATTAAATCAGACGCTTCGTCGACATGTTCGCTATTATTGTAGTCAACTTGCATCGGGGAGATCGCAGCCGTTGGTTTGTACTTGTATCGCTGGCTGTGGTTGGGTTCTCGGCGGCTTGTGATTGCGGCCGTCGAAGCTGACTGGCCCATCCAGGGAGAGTTGAAGAATGAACGGTTGAGGTATTTTGGCCTCAGTTTTTTTATCTTGGGCAAGCCTTTAGAGGCTGAGCAACTCAGGAGTCAGGAGCGTCTAGGAGTGGCTGTTTGCTTCGAAATGTGCAGACACGGACATGAAATCGGATTTCAATTTGGCTTTTTGTGGAGGTGTAGTTTCCTTTTTATTTATCTTTTTAATAAATAAAAGAGCTTATCCCACGGGTTGATCATGCACTCTCCTCCTTCTCAGTGAAAAGAAATAAAATAAAAAGAATATATTATAGGAGGGAGGGCTTACTGTAAGCAGATGAGGGCGTTCACTTTGAATTATAATTCTTCTGCCATCATACTTCCTTCCACTATAAACAATATTTATCCAGAATCTGTGTGTAAAATCTGATGAGTATTAGACAAGGTTCTCTCTATCCCTCCCCTTCTTTGAATTTTCAAAAAAAGTTTCCTGCTTTCTGAATTTTCAACAACTTCACAATATTTACTTACACCAATTGTAATTTATGGATTTATATTTAATGTAATTCTAACCTATTTTAGTCATAAAAAGAAGAGTTCAAAGTTTGTTATCTTGTCAAGTGAGACATCATTTTTGTTTTGTTACAACCAAATCAAAAATTATGAAACAGGAACCATCCTTTCATTGTTATACAATCAAAGTATTTGTAGATTTATGAGAATTTTCAAATTTAAATCAAAATTCTTTCTTATTATTTTTCAAATTTTGTCTGCAAACCTTATCACTCGTGTAGAAATGAAAAATCTTTACAATCATTTTTAACATATGCCTATTTTATGTATTACATTAAAAAAATCAGATGTAGGATGTTTCAAAAATAACAACTTCATTCGCCAAATTTTTATATATGTCAACATTTCTAAAAGTTCCCCATTTATTTTATGACTTTGTCATTAATAAAAGCAATCAATTTTATGAGAATCTAAACAAAATTACTTGTATTTATTTAATATATACAGTTACAGTTGATGTATTCTCCAATTTAAAGCAAGTGCATCATTGTTATGTTTGTTAGTCTCCATTAGCTAACTTCCACATTTCAATGTATTAGTGCATAATTAATGATTTGTAAGTATGTTATAGGTATCTTTCATGCTGTAATTTATAATGCATGCCATCTGCCGTTCAGTATTATTGATTATTCACACGTAGATGCGTTATTTTGACATCAACGACTTTACACGTAATAAAACGACTTTACACGTAATAAAATGTTAAGAGATCACACGTGAGATAATTATTAATATTGATTATGGCATTGTTTTCACAATAGCATGTCTTTATGGCATTGTTTTCACAATAGCATGCAAAGACATAAAACAATAAATGAGACAATAAAGTTTTTATAGTAATTCAGATACTTAAAGCGAATCATACATCAATTGTTTTTTTTTTAATATAAGTATGTTCCTGGTCGTTAACCAAGATTATACTAGGTTGTGAATTGCGATATGGTATTATAAATGTTTAGTGTTCTAAGGATTCTTAGAGAATGTTAAGCCAGTCTATTTCTCATAATATGTCTTTATTATTTTATTTGCAGAATTCAAGGGGTTTGATCTCGATTTTGTGAGGGGGAGTTGCCTATTTATTCCTGCTATACTCAAGGTAATGATTACAATCCTGTAAGTGGATTGATGCTGTGTAAATCTCTCATATCTTCTCATTGGTTGAGAATTTAAAGAATATCTTTAAATTAAATAGGGCTGTGACAAATGCGTAAACCAAATTCATTTACAGACAAATACTTGAGTCGACTAGCTTGTTGACAACTATATTCTTCCTGTCTTCAGAGACGTGACAAATCTTAGATGACACAAAACTTTTCTGAATTTTTTTTGTTTTTTTTTTTTTTTTTTTGGAATGGTAAGAATTTATAGAAGAGACAAAAAATGTAAAAAAACGAGGGGCATACCTCGAGAGAAAGACTGATAAAACTCGGTCAGAAAAACACATGGAAGAAAACCACAAAGCCACAGATTAACATAAAAGAACACGCAGGCTCCCCACAAAAACAATCAAGAAGATGTCATAAACACCAAAGTTACAAACCGGCATAAAGAGCACGCAGACTCCCTACAAAGCTAATTGGGAAGATGCTAAATCGCACGGAGCTGGGCCGAGATCTCATACTTGGGTGTTAAACCAATATCTTGGCTAGACTAAATCACAAATAGCTAAGACCGTATCTTTGCGAGAGCTACAGTGCTGGCGAAACACACAGTTATTCCGTTCAAACCATAGAAAATAAACTGTAGCTGAAAGGACTAACGGGAAAGAAGGTGCCTGAAATCTCCTTTACGTCTAAGATGCAAGCTAGCCCACTGGAGCAAGGGAGCCAAGAGAGATTAGGCCATGTAGAGAATGTCCTGGTAGTGACCTCCCGCCAAACAAACTAGAGAAGTCACAGTTAAAAAACAAATGGTCATGGGTCTTTGTAGCCGACTTGCACAAAACACAAAGGAGGATGTAATGACACCAGGAGACTGAGCTGAGCCGTCCATGGTGCGAGTCGATATGAGTGAAGCTAGCCACATAATGAAAGAGTGGCGTGGAATATGCCGTGGAAACCACAAGAGATGATGAATCGAGTTCACAACCTGTATGTCCCTCAAACACATCCCAGGCTGAATCAATAGAGAATCGTCCAGACGAGTGACCTTCCCTTCCAACACAGATGATCAGGACGACCCACTGAAGGCTGCACTGTAATATAGTCCTAGATATGCTGAAGATCTGCACTACTCGAAGGAAAATCCCACGAACCATCTCGAATAATATTCGAAACTAGAGCGTCCCATGGCAAACCAGTAGAAGTCAAAATCCTAAGAGGGAGCAAGTCACACAAGGGTCTTACGATAGCCAGTGATCCCCTATAAAAAGGTGTCCCTACCATCAGATACAAGTCACAATAAGACCCCGGGACCAATCTCTACCGAGTAAGATCTTCCTCCAAACCCATGAAGCTCTAGATGTAAGTCGAATATGCCAAAAAGGCTGACTACGGAAGAGAACTAAATGGGCCCAAGAGGACCATATAGAAGACCTATCATAAGCAGTCTCCAGACGTGCTTAAGAATGCGTGCTCTATTCCAATCTTAGATCCTTTAATCCCTAGACCACTCTCTCTCAATGGATAGCAAACAAAAGACCAGCAACCTTAGCAGCCGAAGGGGATAGAGAAGTACCCTTCCAGATAAATGAGGCCAAAATACTCTCAATGTTTAAAGTAGCTGCCGGAAAAAGAAACATGGATGACCAATGGACTTGTATGGAGAAAAAGAACCGACTTGTCAGTTGAAGGGCCATAGGTCAAAGATGCCGACGTCCATAGCCTGATCCGAGACAGAATTCGTTCTAACAAGGCTACAATCAGAATGCCAAAGCCGGGTAGAGATCAGAGGAACCCCTAGATATCTGATCGGTAACACCCCCAACTGGAAACTCAAATAGACTGCAAAACGAACTTGCTCTCATCTGTAATCTAGAAAGAAACAATAGCTTTTTCTCTGCGTTAGTCACCAACCCAGAAACCTTGACAAAAGATCCAAGGTCGATTTTATCAGGCAACAGGAAGCATCTGCCGACAAACACCAATCGATCATCCGCAAAACACAAAGAGTAATAGCTGCTGCCTACACCTCCAATGATAATGAAACCCAGGGCTTTGAAGAGTTTCTCGAAGGATACCAACTAAACCTCCATAGCCAAAATGAATAAGTAGGAGAAAGATGGTCCCCACGCCAAACACCCGGGAGGACCAAAAAAAACCATGTAGCTCTCCGTTCAGGGCAACAGAGAAATACGTTGTAAGATACACGTCATGATCCACCTCACCATACGCTCGGGAATCCCAACGGTACGCAACCCAAAGAGATGAAATCCCACTCACAGTATCAAAAGCTTTCCGAATATCAACTTTTAGGGCACATCGAGGTAAAGGACCCCCAAGATGATAATTCCACAAAGCTCATAAGTCAGCAGAAATTATCAGAAATCCTTCGACCTGGGACAAAAGCCGATTGAGAACTCCCATAACACCAGAAGCATACTTTTAACCGATTCACTATAACCTTAGTAATGCACTTGTATAGTACGTACAACAAGATATCGGTCTAAAGTCAGTCATACGACTTGGGTTCTCCACCTTAGGGATCAAAGCAATCCTGGTAGCATTAACACATCTTGCATTTCATTAGTAACAAAGAAATATCTCACCACGTCTTTGAGATTGTACTAATAATCTCCATGCCGCTTAAAAAACAAAGAAGGTATCCATCCGGACAGGGGCTTATCGTCCGAGAGAGATAAAAATAGTCCTAATCTCATCATCAGTGATAGGAGCAGTCAAGGGAGAAATCATATCAGAAGGAATGTGCCAGAAAAATACATGGAAGCCTCCGCCATCCGAGGTTGAGTAGGGGCAAGTAAGAAGATCTTGAAAAAAACCCATACCAAACACCCTAAACCCTGACTGTCAGTAATATAAGTACATTCCCAATCAGTTAAACCGTGGATACGGTTCCGAACCCTGTGGATCAACGACTTTGAAAAACTTAGTATTCTGATCCCCTAAATTCAGCCACTGAACACGAGATCGCTGCTTAAAAAAAGCCTCATCATCTCGACAAAGATTGAAATATCGATGGTAAGGTTCCTCTCCCTGAGAGATACATCAGTAGAAAGGGGGTTCCGGTCCAAATTTGCTTGGGTTGTCGCCCACTGAGCAAGAGCCAATTACCCTGCTGGAGATATGGTGGAATCCCTAACATGTAGAGATTTGAGCTTCTGTTTCAATAGCCCAATTTCTGCGTAAGACAGAACATAGGATTGCCTACAATAAGCTCATCCTAAACTATCTGAACAATATCCATAAAATCTGCACGATCAGCTCAAAAATTTAGAAATTTAAAAGGGGATGGTACCTTGCCACAACGAGAGCCAAACTGGACAACATAGAGCTATGATTTGACACATTCCGAGGTCGAAACTCTGAAACTGTGGTCGGCCGATCAATGAACCAAGAAAGCGATGCAAAGACCCAATCGAGTTTCGTAGAATAATCCCAGCGCCTTGTTGACTGTTATGCCAGTATACCGAAGCCTAGTAAAAGGAACTCCAATCAACTCATATCATGATATAGTGCCAAAATCATCCATATAACCATGGCACGCAGGATCACCACCACTCTA